CGACAGAGTGGGCAGCAGAGGGCGCTGTGAGCACAGAAAGGCAAAGCCAGGCTATGGAGCACTATGTGGGGGGAGCACTATGCGGGGGGGGGGGGAGGACTTGGGGTCTGTAGGTGAGCTCTGGCCACCTTCGTGGACAAGGACAGGCAATGTCGGCAGTGACCTGCTTTTGGCCTCCTGGCCTGACTCACCCGGAATGACTGTGGGAGGAACGCTTCTTGACCTTCTCATAGGGCTCATCCAGGGACGACTCGCTCCACATCTTGGGCTTTATGGGGGACTTGTCGTAGTCGCTGCGGTGATAGTGCATCTGCCTGAGTCCCTCCAGGGACTGCGGAGGCGGAGGCCTGTTGTGTGAGGACGGCGGCCGAGGGGGGAGTCCCTTGTGCGGGGACTGTAAGGGGGATATTGTGCTGGTAACCTGAGCATCTTCTGCATGGAGACAGGAAGAAAGACAAGTCTCGGTCACCCCAGTACTGCCACCAGCACACTGGAGCCACGTGGCAAAGCTCCACCTGTGTCCCCCGAGAGCCCTGGGACTCTGCAGATCTAAACTCCCAGCAGAATGAGCTGGGAGGAGAGGTGGCCCTTTTAATGAATGAATCCTGTTAATTAAAGCCTAAATTCTATCCAATAGCTTTCAAATCACAGCAAGAACGTACTTACTATTTAGTATATCACAACATGTTTTTGTAGTACAGGGACTTGAACCCAGGGCCTTGTTCTAGCAAGCACTCTACCACTTGAGCTATGCCCTCAGCCTTCTTTTTCTTTTTTTCCCCCCTTTTTTAAAGTTGTTTTTTTTCAAGCAGTCCCCTACTTATGCTTTTTTTCCCCTAGCTAGGATCATAGACATGTGCTACCATGCCTGGCTTTATTGTAACTTTTATGGTGGTGGGATTGAACCTGAGGCTTTCCATGGAGCTACACCCCTACTTTGTAACTTTAAGAAACAGTAAACATCAAGTTTGTTTGGGGGGAATTTAAGCTTCAGGAGGGTTTTGTCTGCTCTGCCTTCTACGATGCCCTCCAGATCAGGAATGAGTGTGGACACTCAGCAGGTGCTCAAGAGACATTTAATGGAGGGGGAAAAATGTATGTATATCCACCAAGTATGATTCTCTGCCCGTGGATCTAGTTATTTAGTCTGGTTTTTTTTTGTTTTAATTCCAGAACTACCTATATTCTTAATCTGTTCTGATATATTTTAATTAATTGGCAGTGCTGGGACTGAACCCAGGACCTCACACGAGCTACACAAGTGCTCTACCACTGAGTTACATCTTTGGCCCTGTGTGGGTGGAATTTCATTTAGGAAGGGCCTTGGGGTCGCTCCATCTCCCATGGGCACGGTGGGGCAGGTAGAAGACTTTGAGAGGAAGCGCTGCAGCTGGACAGGGGAAAGCACCATGGGGAAGAGGAAGGAAGGACACAGGGCGGGAGCATGCTGTGGTGAGGGCTGGGTGAGAGCCGTGGGCATAGTCCAGCTGGGCAGTGGCTGGTAAAAGGGGGCGGAGAGAGCAAGGGGGCGGGTTTCCTGGTGGCACCATTGATAAGCAAAGAGCTCTGAGCACTACCTGGGACCCTGAATTGCAGGCAAGCAGAAGGGAACTGCAGAACTCTGCACGTTGTTAATAAGCGCGAGTCACATAGTTAGGATGGAAATCCTGCTGCAGAATGATTCATCTGGCAGGTTGGGGCTGGGAGGGGAGAGAGGGATGAGGGAGGACCAGCAAAGATATCTTGTGTCTTGTAATGAGATCCTGGGACAGAGGAGAGGAAGGACCTTTGTGTTCATGGGGAAGGCGAGGGGGGGGCATGGGGGACGGATAGGGGAACGGGTGGAGGTGGGGGCCACCACCAGGCAGGCATGGGGTTTCACAACTGCATTCTTAACCCTTAACCCAGAAGCCTAAATACACTCCTACCCCTCCTTTGCCCCCCACTTCCTGCCTCCCAAATCAATACAGGAGGTCTAGAAACTGAGGGCTGGGTGTGGTGGTGCATGCCTGTGATCTGAGCTATGTGACAAAATGTGAGACCTTATCAGAAAAGAATGAAAAAAAAGGGGGTAAGCATGGGGGGAAGCGTCACAGCTCAAGCTGAACAGCATTTACTTAGCAAGCGTAAGACCCTGAGTTCAAACCCCAGTAATGCAGAGAGAGAGAGAGAGAGACAGAGACAGACAGAGATTGAGAGGGATGGAGGGAAAGAGAAGATAGAGGGAGATGAGAGAGGGAGAGGGAAAGAGGGAGAGCGAGGGGCAGAGGGGGAGGGGGAGAAGGAGGGAGAACCAGCCCCCCCTCCCCTGCAGTGGGAGTCTGGGACACAAAGTGGCACAAGGGCGCTTTCAGGATACTGGAGACGTGGGAACATGGGGAGGAAAGGATGATCAAGACTGATGTCTCGCTCGAGCCAACATTACCTGTTGCTCTGGTCACTCCTCTGTCACAAAAGAACACTAACTTGTTCTTGTTCCCTTCCCAGAAGAGATGGGGGCACCAGAAGTCATAACAGGGTTGGACATTTGGCACTGAAAATGAATCTTAGCCAGGTGCTGGAGGCTCACGCCTGCTATCCTAGCTGCTCAGGAGGCTGAGATCTGAGGATTGTGATTTGAAGCTAGTCTGGGCAGGAAAGTCCACAAGACTCTAATATCCAATTAACCACCGAAAAGACAGAAGCAGAGCTATGGCTCCAACTGTAGAGTGCTAGCCTTGAACACAAAAGCTCAGGGACTGTCAGGCCCTGAGTTCAAGCCCCAGGATCAGCACATGCACACACACACACACACACACACACACGCACACATGCATGCACACACACCAGAATAGAAAATGCCTTTCTGTTTCTTGGATGCCTCCATGTACCTCCATGTACTGAAGCAGACAATAAAATATTCCAATCTGACTTGTAATAAGTCGGGCCAAGAGGACTGGGTAAATAACTCACCAGACGTTCTCCACATCAAGAGCAATGACTATTATTAGTGCAATTATCATTATTGCTAGGACTTGGGTAGGCCTTTTATGTTTTCCCTCTGAAAAACCACTTATCACTGCCTGCCTGAGGGTTCCCCAGAGGGCAAAAAAATTAACTGCCACTTAATATATTTCTATGTAATTAATGTTCCCCCTCCTAATCATTTGGTTTAACACCCACAGCAAGACTCAGAAATGGTTCCGAGTTTTGGAATTCTTAACTTTGGCTGGAGATGGTGATGGCGTGTCAGGGGTTTAGTCCTGCTTTGCTAAGACTCGCTATGAAAATATCACAGCTGTGCCTCTTACCTGTCATCCTAGCTACCCAGGAGGTTGAGGTCTGGAGGATGGTAGGTCAAGGCCAGCCTGGGCCATAAAAGTCTGAGAGTCTCCATTTTCATGTAACCAATAAAAAGCTGGGTGGCTCAAGTGCTAGTGCTGGACACCAGCTGAACAAAGAAGCTGGGTGAGGGTGAGGTCCTAAGTTCAAACCCCAGTACAGAGCTGGGGGACAGGGGATAGGCTGCCAAGGGACATAGGAAATAGGATAATGTCCGTGGCTGGCCAGATATGGAAAGGGCATCTCCCCCCCCCCCCCCCCCCCCCGTTGTCTCAGAAAGCACCAGAGGTGGATTTTCTTCCCTCCAACTACTCTAGACTTCTGGTTGGTTCTGTGTTTGTTTTGCTCATGGCTAGTACTCTATCACTTCGAGTTTATGAATGGTTAACTGGAGCAAGAGTCTCATGGTTACTTTTCTGTCCAGGCTGGCTTTGAACCCCACTCCTTAGATCTCAGCCTCCTGAGTAGCTAGGATTACAGGTATGAGCCACCGACATCAGGACTCTGTTGATTTTTGATCTAAATCTATTTCCACCTCTCACCACGACATGATTACTCCACAGGACTAACTATCCACAAACTACAGATTCTCTGTTGTTTCTTTTTTAAACCCCATTTCACCTCTGGGCCAAAGGAAATACTCTGATTCCAATCAATAACACCCACCCACTTTCGACTCAGGCATGGATGTGGGCAGGAATCCAGCTGCCACCTGGCCTGGCTTTCCCCCTCAGCCAAGGCTGTCTCCATTACCGCATGCACAACAACTCAGACTTCACCACTATCCCTCCATTGAGAGCCAGAAATAAAAACCTACCATCTTCAAGAACAAGGGCATCGGAGAGGGAGCTGTCCTCGCTGGCAATATTTCCATCTAGAAGACCAAAAATGAACAAATAAATAAAGCAGACTCTAAGAGGTTGGGTTGGTTCCTCTGTGGGAACAAAAGGACTTGGGTGTATGACCACCCCTTCCCCTTCTCTTTCTAATGCCAAAGAAAGAATCCATGGAATACAATGGCAGTGCTTTGAGGTGTTTTGACAGGCCCTACCCCAGAGAGCACAAGGCACCCAGCCGTTGTGGGTTTTGTTCTGATTGAGGGGATACCACAGCAGAGCGTTTTCCTATCACATAAAGGATGCCAGGTCCCACTAAGCACATCATTGTCCCAGCACTAACTCGGGGCATGTACTGACTGCACCAGAGGAAGTCAACTGCTATTTATGCCACAAATGCGAAACTCGAGAAGGGAACTTAAGTTTTGCTCACATGGCAATAAATGGTTTCTCAATAAACTCAAGTCATTAGGAGAGAAAACATGCCTGCTAAGTACAGACTCTGTCTCTCTAAAGCTTTTTTTATAGACACCATTCAATTACGAGCACACCCAAGTGGGTGACAGTAAAATAATCCTCGTTATTTCACATGAATAATTCCACTGGGGAAACTGAGGTAGACCTAGGAAGGTGGTTTTGTCTGAACTTGCTCTGTTCCCTGGCAAGTCAGCAAAGGGCTACACTCTTCAGATTCCAAGTTTAGAGTTTTATCTTTAATTTTTTTGTTTGGTGGTACTGGGGTTTGAACTCAGGGACCTGTGCTTTGAGCCATGCCTCCAGCCCTTTTTAGTTACCAGGTTTGGGCCTGGGCTGGCCTTGGACTATGATCCTCCTGTTACAAGTACAGTACCTGGGATTATGGATATATGCCACTACTCCAGGCTTATTCTTTGAGATAGGGTCTCCCTATCTTTTTTTTTAATACCTGAGCTGGCCTCAGGTTTTTGGATTTTTTTTCCTCAGAGCCGGAAAGTCCAAGTGCCTTGAAGGGGCAGATGTGGGCCTCAAAGGAGGCGTAAGAGAGAGAAGGCTGTCTGTAAGGAAGTTGGGGAACGTGGAGATAGTAGACAGATGGCCATTTCTAGTTTCCTAGAGCATAAAAGTATTTTTTTTAAAGGCCTTCCCATTGGAATTCACTTCTTTATATTGTCAGGTGGATGTGGGCAAGGGGATGGAAGGTTCTGATCCGAATCTCCAGCCTACCATTGCTTCCCTGGTATGCCCACATTTTAGGCTGTAGATATATAATTGTGGCACAAGATACCCAACATGCAGTTGATAGTGCCTAACCATTCTGCGCTCCAAGCAGGGACATAGCATACCCTCCACAGTTGTCCGTCCTGTCTGGATAATAAACTTCCCAGGCTGCATCCACCCAGAACCCTCCCCCCCCCAATAAAACTTCTGGAAACTTCTATTCTCCTTTCTGCCTTTCTAGAGCAAAAGTATATACAGAACACTCCACATAGGCTATCAAGAATCTGCTGACTTAAGAGAAAAGAAAAAGATTACCATCATTAGGGAGACTCGAAGTGTGTTGGCAGATGGAGGGGAATTTCCTTCTGGAATTTACCAAACATCATTAGCCAAACCCTTAAGCCCAGATGGGGGGGTTCAGGGCTCCAGACAATCTGAGGGGATAGCCAGAGCCACTCAAGTTACAGTTTTTGCTAGAAGGGTCCTGGCCACCCTATCAGCCTGGGGTGGGAGATTTGGGGGGCCAGAGGGTAGCAGGGGGTGGTCCCCTCCTTGCTTATCCTACAAGCTGTCCACCTTGCCTTCCAGCCTTGGAGAGGAGTAGGCAGATCCCTGAGATTGGCAGGGGTGGGAGTGGAGGTGGGGGTGGGTTAGGGAGTGGGTTAGCTCTGGCCTAGCCTGGGCTAGCCTAGTCACCCTGATCATGGTGAGGAGTGTGTGTGTGGGGGGGGGGTTGTTGCTTGCTCCCTCAGGGGAGACATCAGAGGTGAGGTCCTGTGACCCTTGCCTCCCCCTCCCCGCACGGGGCTGTCATTGTGTGCATGTGGCCGCCATGTGTCCGTGGGAGGGGCTGGCACTGACCGTCTATGACCAGCGAGGTCCTCTGCGTGGGTTTCTTCCCGGACTTGACTCGGTTCTCATTGATGGCATTTTCAATCTCCTGCAGCTTCTTCAGTGCGTTCAGATAGGAGGTTTTTCTTTGTTTTTTCAGTTTCTTGCTGACGTTGGGGTCACTGGCCAGGCGGCGGGCAGCCTCGGTGATCTGGGACTGAATGGCGAACTCTCGTTCCAGGCGCTCCAGCTCCGCTTCCTGTGGTTTTATTTATTCATTTATTTGGGGGGAGTCATCATCTATCATGGAAGATGGCACATGGGGGGAGTGTGGGGCTCCAACCCCCCATCCTACCATGAATCCCTTCCCAAGCTTTGCCTGGCTTCATTTCTCCCGCCTCGAACAAGGCTCCTGGGGACATTCATCCAGCTGTCATTTTCCTTCCATTTGGGGCACAGGAAGTGGCCCGATTTCTAGAACAGTCTTCTGAGTTAGCTCACCCCTGCCCTCCCATGCCCTCTGTCACACTTTCGTGTCCCTCGTGTTGGGACACATCCTCACTGACCTGGCTGCTTTTACAAGCCCCAGCCATCCGCACACCTGCCTGCTCCGGGAGCCCTGCCCCGCTTGGCCCCCACACGGGGCCTGCAGAGTAGGCGGTGGCAGAACCAGTTTTCCCTCAGCAACTTGGATGGTGTTCCGGGTCCCCCTCCTTCCTCTTTCTGGGCTAGCTCCCTCCTCGCTCAGCCCCTGTCTTTGGCCAGGATGTCAGAGGTGCTCCAGGTTCCCTCCCCACCCCATGTTGATGGCGAGTCTGCTGCCAGCCTCTGTGGCACAGCTGTTCCTCTGCACAAGTGGAGGAAGGGGGGGCAAAGGCAGGACCCCCCTTAACGCGTCAGGATGTCCGCTCCTTAATTTCCTCTCTTTCCCCTGAGAGCTGGCTCTGTGATGCTCACATTTGCGCCTCTTTACTGTCGCAGCCTGGGTACCTGGGAGCTCATGGGAGTCTGCCCAACCCTCAGGAGCCCACAACAGACAGTACAACCAAGACCCCAAAGTGGCCAGGAGACAGCTTCTCATCTATCACTCACTTAACCCTAGCACTGCGAACCTGGCCTGGTCAGATCTCATGGTGGGTGTGCACGCAGCCTCCTGGGGGACCTGAGACTGCAGGTTCAGGTGATTTCCTAGCACTTCCAGGAAGCCACCCCCACCCCAGGCACCTGAGTGTCCTCTCTGTGTCCACACCATGTCTCACGCTAGGAAGCCATGTTCCTCTCAATCACTTTCTCAAAAGACTGAGAGTACACTCCGTTCGTTCATTCCCTGGGCTCTGAGCCCTGCCCTCTTGGGTCTCATGTTAATGAATAACTATTCAGAAGAGATTTGGGGAGACCCTGGAGCAGAAGGTCCACTTGCCCTTCATTTCTTCTGGACGGAGGCTGGATACTTGCTACTCAGCCAGAGGTTCAAGTGTTTACTTTTGTTTTGGGAGCCCCTATCCTCCCCCAATCTGATTTCTCCAATCTTGGCCCTCACCAGTGTTCAGACAAAACAGGATCAAGAAACAAACAAACAAAAAAAAAACCTTTTGAAATAAGTCTCTCCCAAATACAGACATGTGAGTCCAGGATGGATTTCACGCCTTTTGCCCGAATACACACTAGTTTCAGCAACCAGGTAAATTCAGACCAGGAAGGCAGGCCTTACTGAACAGTGCCCCTGGGGACAAGGCCCTGCCTTTCCCTCTCCTCCTGCTCCCCTCCACAGACCCGATGAGGTAAGACTCTGAGTCACCGCGGCAGGGCCACCACTGCAGAGACAAGGAGGTACAGGCATCCCCAGAATGTTCCCCTCAAACTTGACGGGGGTCACTAGCAACTGGCCTAGAGTGTTAGACAAATAAACTTCAACCAAAGCCAAAGGCCTCCAAAGGTAAACAAAGTCATCCTCCTAAGAGAACCACATACCAAGGAACCAGCTCACTCTGGAAGAGACGAAGGCCAGCTCCTGGTATTAGGAAGCAATGGAGAAACCTTTGCAGAGAACTTGGAGGTCCGAAGGGAGGGGGAAGGGAAGGGAAGGGCACCCCACCTCTCCTTTGGGCAGGATTTTCTGCTCATCCAGCTTGAACGCAGTCCCTATTCTTCTCCGAACAATAGGCGGTTCCTCTCCTGGATCTAGGGGATATTCGACCGGCAGTTTCCCAGTGAGCTCCTGTGTGTGCGGAAACAGCATTCAGAGCGGTGATACATCATCACACAGCACGTGTGCCAGCATCGAGGCTACACACACACAATCATGCACGCACCCATCAACACACACATTCCATATATAAATAAGTCAGTACTATGCCTAAATAAGACTTCAGGAAATGAAATTTCACCTCTATAAAAATGTGTGACATTCTTTTCTCTACAGAATACCTGCACTTTGGAAAGTTGTTTTTTTTATTATTATTATTTCTTTCCTTTTTCCCCAGAATCAATTTCTATCAAAAGTAAATAAAAGTTTGACTGGCTTAAACACAACTACAATTCCACTCACTTGCCAATCTACTTAGAAACCCCCTATACCCACAGTGTGCCAGGTAAGATCACACAACCAGTATGCAGCAGCTCTACCATCTATAGGGACTTTCTATTCTAAACCCTGTCCTCTGACTTTCTGGGAAAGGGAGGTACTGGGGTTTTGAACTCAGGACCTTGCACTTGCTTGGGCCATACTCCATAGTCCAACCATGTGTTCTCTGCCCTGTATCAAATATCCCCTGCAATATATCAGTTGACAAGTTCTTTCAAGTGATTTCTCTTAAGAGGAGTGGTATTTATATGGTGAATCACAGAAAAAAATGCGCTACATAATTTAAAGACTGAGTATGGATAGTAAATACTCCACTCTGGCCAGATACTCAAGGAACAGGCTGAATGTAAAAAGACACTAACCTTCCGGGCACCAGTGGCTCACACGCTGTAATCCTAGCTACTCAGGAGACTGAGATCTGAGGATCACAGTTCAAAGCCAGCCTGGGCAGGAAAGTCCGTGAGACTCTATCTCTAATAAATCACCAGAAAACCAGAAGTGATGCTGTAGCTCAAGTGGTAGAGCGCTCACCTTGAGCTGAAGAGCTGAGGGACAGTGCTAAGGCCCATGGCTCAAGCCCCACAACAGATCAAAAAAAAAAAAAAAGACACTAACCTGGGCTGGGAATGTGGCTCAGTGGTAGAGTGTTTGCCTAGCATGCATGAAGCCCTGGGTTCGGTTCCTCAGTACCACATACACAGAAAAGGCCAGAAGTGGCCCTGTGGCTCAAGTGGTAGTGCTAGCCTTGAGCAATAGAAACTCAGGAACAGTGCTCAGGCTCAGACAGTTCAAGCCCCAGGACTGGCAAAAAAAAAAAAAAAAAAAGACACTAACGTGTGTAAAATTAAGAGTTTTAAGTTAATCTATTTTCACTGACAAGGTATCTAATGAATTCTGTTGAGTGTGTGCTTTGGGCTCTGGGGATCTAATTATCGGGGATAGAATGATAGACCCCGATGAACACAACAACCCAGAGTCAGTGCAAGATCTCAGGAATGAAGTAGATCAGGATTAGAAGTAGGCTCTCCATGAGTGTGCTACATCGAGGCTTCATGAATAAAGATCAACTGGAGTAGGCAGCTGACCCAGGCTGTGGAGGCTTAGCCTGACTGGACTGCAAGAGGTAACCTCCAAAACTGCTGTGTTCCGCCAAGAACAATGTCCAGCAAAGACCAGGTCTGGCCCTAAACCAATGCAGATGCTACATACACAATGACGCTGTGGGCTGCTCTGATCAGGAAGGGCTTAGCAGTGTCTTGGAACTGCTAGTATCCCAGGAAAAGGCTTTTGGGCTGGCCAATCCAGTCCTTAGCAGCCAATGGCAGGGGATCCCACCGCAGGGAGGGGTCACTGCGGCCTCTCTCATTCTGCTGTGTGCTGATGTACTGCTGTGCTAGTGCATGTGCGCATGCGCACCCACAGAGACGCACACCATTGGCTCTCCGGCATCTCTGCTGTCCAGAATCTCTTTCCTGCTGCACCCACATCACTGGGAGTGACCTGGTAGATTTTTTTTTTATTCCTCTGTGTAAGCATTTCAGAGTACAATGGCCAACTATCGGAGCACAGACCACTTTGCTATGTCAGTCCCTGTTTTTATTTTTTTTTTTAAATGCCATTCAACTATCTCCCACGCAGTCACGTGTCTATTCTGCAACTTTTTATCCTGTTCCCCTCCAAGTCTGTCGATAAATCAATGCAAACTATCGAGGGTTCCCTATGGTCAGGACTTTCTTTTTTTCCTGCCTTGAAACTTAGGAAAAAAGGAGAGGAAAAGTTGTTATGGTGTCATGGGTTTATTTTATTTTTTGGGGGGGGGGTTTGGTTCCAGTCATGGGGCCTGAACTCTGGGCCTGGGCGCTGTCCCTCAGCTCTTCAGCTCAAGGCTAGCACTCTACCACTTGAGCCATAGTGCCACTTCCGGCTTTTTTTTTTTCTGCTTATGTGGTGCTGAGGAATTGAACCCAGGGCCTCATGCATGCAAGGCAAGTGCTCTACCACTGAGCCACCTTCCCAGCCCCGTGTCATGAGTTTATAACTCTAAAGGGTTTGTGGTTTTAAAATATATGGTAAAAATGAGGCTACTGGTTTTCCACCATTGGCTTGAAGTCACCTGGGTTTGAGGCTTGATTCCACAGGTATTTAATTTGATTTTATATGTAACCAGAGCTTCATGGCAGAGAGGTAACTTAATGCACTGCTGTGCGTGGCGCTTTCATTGGGTTTATGTCTTTATAGAAAGTCCAAAGCTCCCACTAGGCCTCCTGCCTGCCCTGGCTCTCCAGGGCTCAGCCCTGACTTCCTGACTTTTCTGAGGGCTAAAAGGGGAGAGAGTTAAGCAGAAAGGAACAAGTAGCTGCCTTTGGGTTTTTGGTTTTTTTCCCTTCTGCTGCTCAAGTTGGATTTTGTGTTGTCAACGTTGTACGAAGTGGGAGCTCTGTGTTCTGATTTGGTTTTTGTTTGAGGCGAGACCGTGGGACTGTTAAAAGCCTCACACTCACCTCGCCTGGACATGTTTCTCTTATTTTCTAATGGAGATTCACTGCTGGATTTAGAGACTTTTCTTTTATTAAAAACAAAACAAAGCTGTACATATTATTAAAGACAGACACTGAAACCCCTATGTGTGTGTGTGTGTATATATATATATATATATATATATATATAATTTTTTTCCTATTGTTCCAGCATATTCTTTGTAAAATCGTTGCTAACATTAACGGTATCACATAGCACATTCCCCCTGGCTGGGACGATTGCTTTCCTAAGATTTCCAATGGATTTGTGCTAATGTGGTTCTGCTTTGAGTGGGCTCTGGTTTAAATCAATCCAGACCATAATTAAGCCAAGTTGAAGTGTAATGTGATCTCATTCTACAACCCCCTCCTGATGCAAGGCATTAGCATTTGGGGGGCTCACACTTTGTTTGGGAAGCTCTTTCTAGTTCCCATTCTGAACTGTTTACCCACAGAGCTCTGTGTCATGTTCTGATCGCCCAGGACAGCAACTTCCCCATGCCCACGTGCAAGCACACCACACGCACACACAGGCACACTAAACATTGAAGTCCCTGAACATTGGTGACCAAGAGCCATACAGTCCATAACAGAAGAAGATACAAATGCACATTGTAAACACAGGCACAAATAAACATGGGCATGGATGGCAGAAGTCACTACGTGCTCATGAAAATGAAGACGAGACTAGATAGAAGCTAGAGGAGACATTGCTTTACATCAAATTCCTAATGCTAGACTACAATGCTAGACTAAGTTTTATAATGCTAGACTAAGACTGCATTTAAAAATTTTTAAATGTGGGGCTGGGAAGGTGGCTCAGTGGTAGAGCACTTGCCTTGCATGCATGAGGCCCTGGGTTCAATTCCTCAGCACCATATAAACAAAATGAAAAAAACTGGAAGTGGCGCTGTGGCTCAAGTGGTAGAGC